GGAGTAACTGACTAAGCTTGTTCGAAGCTTTCGCCTTTTACTGCAGTGGTCATATGGAGGACTTATTTCTTGTTGATAAACATAAAAATACAGAGAGATGGATACAGACATGGGAGAGGCTTATTGGCATGCCTTGCTGTTACATTATAGGAAATACAAGGACAGCCAAGAATTCATAGCTATAGTGCCATTTGATTCTCATAGGTTAATGTAGCTATTTAGGTTGTTGAGGTATGTATATGGTCTTTTATGTTTATCTTTGTACAAATTGAACGATATTACCTTGTGAGCTGTGCTTTTTCTAATAATTTTATAGCACTCAGGGAGCTGGTGGTTGAGCTCCTTTTCTTCACATATTTTCCCATGAAAACTGCTAGTTGAGTTGAGTTGTGTTCAAACACATGAAAACTTCCATTTTCGTCTCTCTGGGGAAATCGATTGACGTTTGCAGTTCAAAAACCCCAAAATCAGGTAGAACCTCGATGAGCTTTTCGAGTTGATATCGCGATCTTGATTTTTTACTGTTATCACGATAAGCGATATCCCTCGTAGATACTAAATTATAAAAAACGACAGTGTTCACTGATACTGTCGGAATTATGAATCCTCTTGAGTTGATATGTTTAGATGGCATAAGTAGTTAGTTCAATCAATCTGTTTTTTTTATTATCGTTAAATTTATTTATAAATTTATATTTTTTTTAAAAAAAAGTTTATAAAATTATATTTTTTTAAAAAAATTCAGTGCATTGTATATCAACTACAATTGGAAACAGAATAAAAGTTATAATGATTTAATTTGATTTATAAGAGTGTAAAAATGCATTTGAAGTAATATGGCTTCAGGATCATTATCATGAGATAAAATGGGTTTGACCAAAATTGAGATGGTCCCCTACTCGAATATATATTGTTTTAAAAATATATATTAAATTATGAATTCAACATTAAAATACCTAATCTAAAATTATATATTAATTTATTATTTTCTTGATAAAGCACATTAATTTAGTAATTATTAGTTAATTAATTAATTATTATTAATAATAATGGTCACAACATTATGATTGGTAGTGAAATGGGACTAAAAAGTGAAGTACCCTTAATTTATTTTTGGTAATTGCACCTTATATTTTATTGTATTTTAAAAATTATATTATAGTGTAGTGCCTAATCCTAGGGCCTAGGGTAGGGTAGGGTGTAGGGTAGGGTGTAAGGTGTAGGGCATGGTCCTCTTAGGCTTTTTGGTTGGAGTGATGGGATTGATAAGCCTAAAAAGCAAACCCTAATGATGCCTACTACTCCAAATCTCATGTAAATTTGGCATTTTCATCTTTTAGAAATCCACTAACCTAAAAAGCACCATTCCATAATATGACTATCAATTTCCAAATGTCTTATTAGGTTATTCTTAATTATGGTGATTTAATTTGAACAATTTTGGTGGGTCACTTACTTCTCAATCACCCTCTTAATAAATGGGGAGAAAGAGAATATACATATACAATATACAATATACAATATACAATTATTTTTTTCTTTAGTGGTAATCATATATAACTCACTACAAAATATTTAGCTTTTATAACTTTGTTTGAGTAGTATAATCTCTACAAATCTTAACCACCATATTTTCATGAGTTAATACTATATTTGTTTTCTTGTATAAGATTTAGAAACTTTCGTGGTTGGACCTCCTTTGGTTAGTACGGATGCGTCATGGTTGGACCTTTTACCATTGTTCGATTAAGAGAGACTGCGAGAGCGAGAGACTTAAAGAATTAGGGTTCGAGGATGTTTGTGCGTCGGGAGTCGAGCGATCGAAATACCAAATACTATGAGGGTTGAGACGAAGGATAATGATATATATGTATATGAGTGGTTTGATGTCGCCGTACTCAAAAGAAATATTTTAAATCCCCTCGTTCTCTACTTATGTATATTCCATACTTATATAGTCAACCGGAATTCCTCTTTTAACTTGATAACCAGTTATTATAAAAAATATGTCTTCTAAATAAAAATTTTTATTTAGAATCGAATTTATCTCGTTAAAAAAAAAATACTTAAAAATATTACGATAAACTATTTAAAAATAATGATTATAAGTACGTCTTCTTTTTCTAATATTTATTATTATAATCTGAGTAGTTTAAACAAAATAATTTAATTAAAACTCTATGGATAACAAAATATATTAAAATCACAAATAATTTATGTTATCTTGTGTTAAAATTCTTATAATTGTATTAAAAAAAAAAAACAATAATTTATACAAGTGAAAAAGAGGCCTTTTCATGGTGTTGTATGTATATGAGTGGTAATCATGAAGGGGAGAAGAGAGTCTATAGTGGAGTAAAATGTGGCTTCACCTGGTTTGTTTGCTTGCTCAATTAGCACTAAGGTGTTCTTGGCAGTAAAATCAAAAGGGGAAACTTCTCTCTGCCTGATGAGGTGGATTTCAGAAAACCCTTTGGCGATACACACACACATACATACATATATATATATATATATATGGAAAAGACTAGAGTGGTTTGATTCAAACCAAAGAGTGAAGAAGAGCAAAAGAAAATTGGGAAAAGTAAGCTATTGAGTTAAAAGCTGTATATATAAGTTATTGGAAAAATACACATGTGTGTGTGTGTGTATGTATATATATATATATATATAGAAAAGACTAGAGTGGTTTCATTAATATATATTTAGCAGAAAAACCCAGGTACAATTCTTGCTGATTAATATATATTTAACAATTTTTTTTCCAAAAGAAAAATAATGAGAGTGCAGAATTTGTTTATAGTTAAAATTTCATAAAATATAATTATATATATATATAAATATCTAAGAAAATGTTTAAAATGATCATTTATCATCTCCTTAAACCCATAAATGGGTTTATTTCCCAATCATTTCTTTCTTTAGGCTTCTGAAAACCAGAAGCAAATAATTGAAAACTGAGAGTCTAGTAGCAGTCTTCCAGCCTAAGCAGCCCATGGGATAATTACCCACTACAGGTAATAATTGCTTATACATATATATATATATATATAATACTTAAACTAATACATCTTAAGGTTTCATTTATTTATATATATATATGTGGGTGCGTGTATATATACATATGTTGTTTTTATAAGTTATATAGGTAAGGTAAGGTAGCCCCCCAGAACTTAGGCTTCATTTGTATTCACAGTTTTGATATATATTCTATATATTCAGGAAGTCAGTCGCAGTACAAAATCACCAATTGTGGCCAACCCAACTAATTATAGCACCTTCTTTCCACCTCCACCACCCACAAAACCATGGCCACCACTTCATTTTCCTCCTCCACCACCTCTTCCCGCCACCACTCACCACCACAACACCATGCACACCAGTTTTGCACATCATGACCAACCCACCATGTTAGGTCTCCATAACATCCTCCTCATAGCACCTTCTCACCCAAACCATCCACCCAATACTCATCAAACCGAGAAAGATCATGTGGGTTTGGGTGTTCGTACTGCAGAGACTGATGATCATGAGGGTGATGACGATCTGGGTTGTGTTAAAGCATGTAGAGACTGTGGGAATAGAGCTAAGAAAGAGTGTGGATATGGTAGGTGCAGGACTTGTTGTAAGACTAGAGGTTATGATTGTGTTACACATCTGAAGAGCACTTGGGTGCCGGCGGCTCGCCGGAGAGAGAAACAGGCGGCTGCTTCTGCTTCTACTGCCGGCGCCGGTGATTCTTCTGGTTCTTCTTCTTGTGGGGTGAAAAGATCAAGAATGGCTTCTGCATCTGATAATAATACTTGTTTCCGCTTTGAAACCAGCTTTGCTCAACAGGGTCTGCTCTCTTTCTCTCTAAACATTAAGAAAGTAGATGACTTTGATTTTGTTAAAATGGCTAATTTGATGAAAGATTTCAGTTTTTCCTTTTTTGTTTTCTCTCCATCATTCTGTTTTTCTTTTGTTATTCTTCTTTTCTTGTAATATGCCTGTTTATTGTTTGATAGTATTCCCAAGTGTGTAAGAAACTTTGAATCAAAATTCTACAAGTAATGATCAAAGTGAATTGGGTTTATTCGCTTTCTTACTGCAAATCTTCTTCTTCCTCGTCATCTTTATCTTAAACTTGTTTCAAGTTGGTTTTATAGAGTAAAATCAATACATATTGTCAAGAAACTCTGAATCAAAGTTCTTCAAGTAATGATCAAATTGAGTTGGGTTTATTTGTATTCTTACGGCAAAACTTCTTCCTCTTCCTTTTGATCTTAAACTTTCAAGGTTTCTACAAGTAATGATCAAATTGAGTTGGGTTTTTTTTGCTTTCTTACTGCAAAACTTATTCTTCCCCTTCCTTTTTATCTTAAACTTGCAAGGTTTCTACAAGTAACAATCAAACTGAGTTGGGTTTGTTTACTTTCTTACTGCAAAACTTCTTCTTCCTCTTCCTCTTTATCTTAAAGTTCCAAAGTTTCTACAAGTAATGATCAAAATGAGTCGGGTTTATTTACTTCCTTACTGCAAAACTTCTTCTTCCTCTTCCTCTTAATCTTAAACTTTAAAAGTTTCTACAAGTAATGATCAAAGTGAGTTGGGTTTATTACTTTCTTACTGCAAAATTTCTTCCTCCTCTTCCTCTTTATCTTAAACTTGTTTCAGGTTGGTTTTGTAGAGTCAAATCAATACATATTCTTTTGCTATTTACACGCAGATTCAAACTTTAAAAATTCATTACCAGGCCAAGTCCGGGCACCAGCAGTCTTCAGGTGCATAAGAGTAACTGCCATTGCTGATGGTAAAGCTGAGGTTGGCTATCAGGCTACTGTAAATATCAGTGGTCATGTCTTCAAAGGATTCCTCTATGATCACGGAGTTGATGAGAACAATCTGCTGCCCTGCATCTCAAAATTGCAGTTTCAAAGTGGGAGGAACAGTGAATCTTCTTCTCCTCCAATTGTAGGTCCACACACTGCCTATGTTGTCTCTAATAACTGAGGATTAGTTCTTCAAGTTACTAATAGATTAAGCTTTTGTGTGAATTCTAATGGTAGATTAAAGAAGTAAATCACAAAATTATTTTAAAAAATATCAAGAACTACATAATTGTAATGTGGTTATTGAAGTTTGATCTCTGCTGTTCTATATTTTCACAGCACAATGCATTATCCTAGTTAACTGTGTTACAGAATTTGTTATGGATGCCTTTAAGTTCATTGGAAAAAGCTTTGGAGTTAAACCCATGTTAACTAATCTTTAGATTCATTTTGGAATTGAATCAACAAGAATTTAACATGGGTTTGTTTCAGAATTGAAGAAAGAAAAAAATGGTAAAAAGCTTGATGATGTAGTCTCTAATAACTGAGGATTAATTCCTCAAGGTACTAATAGATTAAGCTTCTGTGTGCACTCTAATGGCAGATTAAAGAGCTAAATCACAATATTATCTGAGAAAAAAAAGATCATGAACTACATGAATTATAATGTGATTATTGAAGTTTGATCTCTGCTGTTCTATATTTTCACAGCATCAATGCTTTATCCTAGTTAACTGTGTTACAGAATTTGTTATGGATGCCTTTAAGTTCATTGGAAAAAGATTTGGAGTTAAACCCATGTTAACTACTCATTAGATTCATATTGAAATTGAAATCATCAAGAATTTCTCATGGGTTTGTTTCAGAATTGAAATAGTAGAAGGCTTGACAGTGTAGACTAAGTAGGCAATCCCAATTGGGATCAATTACTTCTGCTTCTTTCTTTCATATATACAAACAAAATAAAGCATTGATGTGAAGCTTTCATAAGAAAACAAGCATCATGTTTGCAATATCAACATCAATCTTTGATGAAAAAGGAGAAAAAATTGCATGTGGGTTGATCCAAATCTGCTTTACTCTCTGTATTTTTCACTACATAATTTGACCTCTGATGTAAACTCATGCAAATATGTAGTATGTTCTTATCTTTTTTGTTGGAGTGAAGTGCAAAAAGTCATTTGCAGACAAATCTTAGAAAATTAATGGCAGATTTTTGTATGTTTCCCACCTAATTATCCGAATTCGTTTTTTTCCCTTGACACTGTTTTTGTAGACAGAACCTCTGTGCTTATGTCGATTTTGCTAATAATCTCTTCTCTTGATTGTTACAAGCATTGAGAAGTATTCTCATGGCAATTTGTACGTTTAGAACCCAATTATCCGAATTCGTTTTTTTCCCTCGGTACCATTTTATAGGGAGAGTCTTTGTGCTTATCTCAATTTTGCAAATAATCTCTTCTCCTTATTGTCATAAGTATTGAGAAGTATTCTCACGACATGTATGATTATGATTCTCCGAATTCGTTTCATCTGGCATCCTCGTATTATTCTTAACTTAATTCTTACATTTAAATTTCATACTACTCTTGACTTGTAGAATCACAAGACTTGTATCATTGCTATTAGCACGAGTACTCGTTGATACGGTTATTATTATAACGAGATGTAAGAATACTACTATTTATCATCATAATTTTTATC